AGAGTGATTAATGGAATAATGTCAAGAAGATGAGAGATATAAATTCCACAATACTTACAAAAAAGATTCATAGAATTCATACATTAGTATGCAATTTGACACAACAGTTATATGTATCAAGTCTAAAAATGTAGCATATCAAATCAACTCCTGGTCATATTATCCCACAACATTCTTCTGTATGTATGATAATAGCTAGCATTACCTGAGATAATATCTCTTAAGCTGAGGGATGAAAATTAAGAAGGTCAAACCGAAAGACCATATACTGAACATTCAAGGGTGAGTTTCCAACCAAATAATATTTCATGATGGAATAATTCTTCAGTGAACATGTTTCATGTATCCCAGTAACAATGATTTAATGGTAGTTTGAATAGCTTCATCTGCAACACTGCTCTACAATAACATCTGTTTGAAGAATCACTAAATAAATAAACTGAATATTCATAAATAAGTATATCCACACACGTCACATCATCAAAATTCGGTAACAAAATGTAACACTCAAACACGATTCTGCAACTTGGAAAATGCTTCAGCTGGAAAAAACATCTCTCTACAGTTTTCGCTTTGCATCACATAGGCGGCAAAAGAAACATGAAGAAGCTTTTAGGTATCAACAGTAGACCAGTAATAAAATTACAACTATGATCGCACTACTATGTTCACAATCGCTTAATTGATTTAGGCCCGGAACTGAAACATCGAAACTGACTTTGTGTCCTGAGAATACAAACACTGCTGATATGGATCTCCACAAAACCTCTTCTGATATAAATTCATATGCAAATACATATGTGAAGTATCCTGCTGAGCTGCTTCCACGCAGACTAAATTTTACTCTTTTGAAAATGTCATTTCAATTACGTTTCAGAAATAAAATGTGCAAATAACCATTGGATTAGAAATAAAAACTGATTTAACATCACAAAGTCGCAAATAAATATTACTGGGGACAATTTCTAATCTCTTTTATCTTATCTTGGTAATGTACTTCAAATACACCGATTTTCCATTGACCACCTGTATATTAACACTCATTAAAATAACTTTCTTAAGATAGAGATTACTTTGACTTTCAACCATTCATTCTTTCATAACATCACTAAAATATATTGCAAATTCTCTGAATTACTGAATAATGAATAAGCAAAGAAACATGTAACATTGATCAACTGCACGCAATAATCCTTTATATTAAATAAAACAAGTTTAGTTATCCTCCCTTACATCGTATTTCTATCAACAATATATATGAATAAATAAATTCATGTATATATATATATATATATATATATATATATATATATATATATATATATATACATGCGGACCACTATTGATCACAAACTTATTTATCATACATCATATACATGTATAATTGAGTTCATACACATTAAACTAACAAGACATATTGCCAAAATGAGGGCGAAGTCTCACTCTAGTTCTCTTTACTCAAATAAAACAATAATTAAGAACAAATAGATAACAATTGTCAATTAAGCATGTAAACAAATAGTTGGTGTTGAACAAATTTACAACAACATATTATTCAAACAATTCATACACATGAACCATTAATAATCACTCCCCTCATATTCAATCTCACTTCTCCCAATCGCCATATTTAAACAACTTTCGACAAACAAATCAATGTGATGTAAAAATATGTTTTTCTGTGGTAAACGATGTTTTGGATATTTATGGAGTAAATACATTTCTTAAACTCATCAAGTAGTTAACAAATATATTAGTCAATAATCCTAATAACAATTGAAATTTGAATAAATGTTCAGATTATTAGATGAAGCCTAGTGAGAGTATAAAGAATGAGATTATTCTATTTATATGTTGAACACTCGTGGATCAGATCGATTAATCCTCTGTTGGTAGTATCAATAAATAAATTGGTCGATAATCACATAAAGACTACTGATATGGCTGTTAACAATGAGGAATAAATATGGCATTCTGTGGATCTCATTCAGAAATGTAACACCGAAACAGTTCCTGATCGATCGAATAACAGATTTCGGTGAAATGCTTTCCGATTGTATTGTATTATTACAATCTGATCAATATTGAATATTAAACACAAAAATAAAGCATGAATACCTATTTAGTACATTTTTACTCTCATTTAAGCAATATTCAGTGTTTCAGCTCTGCTAAGTTCAAATTATACAAATCTGATTGTTAGCCTAACTGTAAAACTAATCATGAGTTAGTATATTCAGGTATCAATTTGATTTCTTTCTAAAGTTAAATAAATCTATATCAGCAGTGGTTGTGTTCTCACTACGCATCGCAAGAAAATATTCAGTATAAACAGCTGTGTTTTGTTCTCTGAGCTAGATAGTTTGGTCGTGGAGCTTTCGATACACGTGAGTCTCCAGTTTTCCTGTGTTGGTTCTAGTGATTAGTATATTCAAGAATGATAGTTCATTGTTCGACTTCTGTCCGATTGTGAACTTTATGTCATCGAAGTTGTTAGTCAGATTCTAGCTCGTCCTTTTTGACATTGACAAATATGTCGTTCACATAACAAATCCTAATTTTTGGTTTGATCGCTGGTAAGATTCAGGCTTCCAGTCTCTGTATCATTGTTGAGATCTTGGATAGATGGAATACTAAAAACATCAGAGAATTTTAAGGAACTTGAGACTCAGGTCGATCAGTGATCAATAAACATATTAAAATCGATCTAATCTATCAACCGATCAGAAAAATCATGGACAAATATAGGACCAAGAATCAAATCAACGGGGTATACAATCAAAATAAAGAAATGAACAATGATAGCTTACAAGTCAACAAAGCCAATCAAGATCGGGTTTCACAGGACAAACTGTGAGTCATATGTGGAGGAATTCAAACACTTCACTTCTATCTGAAGTTTGTGCTGACGATGTCGTTCAGAAGAACAAAAAAAGCTCCACGACCAAACCATTCTAGCTCAGAGAACAAAACTTCACCAAAATCATTCATCTGTGTTACAAATCTTCTACACCATCTCAAAACAGCTATGTATTATTTCCTGGATATTTTAAGATTGTAAGGAATCTTGTCTTTATAAAGCAGAAATGACATTTGGAAACATTAGTTTTTTTCATTTCTTTCTGTGTATATTTTACTATATAGGTTACATAAACGATTTTACTTTAATATGGTTCATTATTTCTGTTGTGAAATATTTTTGATTTGTGTAAACTCTGTTCACTGGCTATAATATCCCTTTAGAATCAAAAGTGAATTTAACTTCGTTGTTGACTCGTCTGTATACTATAATCGCAGGGGATTTTTCACATTGTAAATATGATCGTTTTATATTAAAATAGCTAAAACAAATTTGTTTAATGCAATTAGATCTACATTCAGGAAAATTTAAACGTTAAACAATTATTTCTCGAATTTTTAACTCAGTATTGTTTAATATTTATTTGAACTTGAACCTAATTCATAATGTTCATACTGATAAAATCAATCTTATTTAACTGAACAGTAGAAAACTCATAAATTGATGATCAAATTAAGTCAAGATATAAGTCCATACATAACGTTTATACTTATTTGTGAACTAGCTTTACCTTAACTAATATATATATTATTGATTATAATCTAAAAATTTTAATTGTACTTTTCTGATATTAACTGTGTTGGAAATGGTGTTCATTTCGTACCATTTATTTAGAAAGTTAAAGTGTTTAGTACAATACTAAGGCTACTACGTAAATTACGGGAAGATTTATAGCTTTTCCTTGAAAGAAACTCATCTTTCAGTTTCTCTTGGTTCTTGAGACTCGATTTATGACATGTGTATGATAATCAACTTTGACAAAAACTGTCGATTCTATCTGTTCTCATGCAAAGCAATTTACTTTCACTAATACAGTAAAATACTATGCGTTATCAGTCATAACACTGAATCATTCTAGTAAGGACTATACAGAACATAACACTTGTTGAGACATTGTCACCCTAACAGGCCAGTGAAGTTCTTGACGCTCTCATTTTATTATTAGTTAATCTTAAATATCAGTATGAGAATTTGTGGGTTGTAGTATTTTCGCAATTGAAAAGCTGGAAGCACTAGACGGAAACGGATGAAGGGTTCCACAGGACCATGGATCGATTGGAGCTAGACATCAACACTATTGGATAACGAGCCAGTAGTCTAGAGGTTAAGCGTTTGTACGCGAGACCGAAGGTCCTTGGTCCGAGTCCCACGTGTGGATCGTGTAGTTTTGATCTAACAAATTTTTCGTTGAATTGGACAGAAAAAATGTAAAGTAATGTGAAGACCAAAGCGCCTGTCATAAAACATTTCCATAAAAGCTAGTGTAATTAACTAACATAACAACATCGGAAAGTGTTGGACTTCTTGAAATGTTTTGTACGACTTAAGAAATTTTGTGAAACCTCATGTTACAACACAATCTGTTGGTTCGAAACCTACATACACCATTTACTCCTAAGCTATATATTTATGATAGTCCCATGTAATAGTCATTAATTTGGTACACAATATGAAATACACCGAACAGCTGAATCATTGGGTTTTTTTTTCAACAAAAAGTATTACACTAGCACAACCACAGTTAAAAAAACACAAATAGTAGGGCAAAGCAAGATAAGTGGAAATATAGAACAAAGATAAATAACAAAACAAAAAATTAAAAACTATTATTCCAAAATAAAAATACTGATGACAAAACACATCGTAAATAAAGCTGAAAAAGGATGGAACATGTAGATACATACTTTGAGAACAGGGGTTGGAAAATAAAGATTCATCAGTCATAAACATCAACAACAACTAAATCATCAAAGCACACTGTAGTAGCAAGAAAAACACTTTATACATAGATAAAGAACGAAATAACTAAAATACAATTCAACAAAAAAGAACCAAAACGACAAATTGGAATGATTTGAAATGTTTACCAAAACGACGATGATGATGACGACAATGTTATGCAAGATGTATTCAATTAACTTTAAGAAAAGTTTGTTTTACACTTTTTCATTTCATTTGTAATCTGATGTATATTTACCAACTGATTACGTATAGGCATATTTTTGTAGGGACTTTGTGTCATCACTTTTTGAAAACGATGGTAATGTTGAATAAGTTGAGCAAGTAAACCCTATAAAAAGAGTAAATTTATTGATACTAAACATAATAAGATTTTATGGTTGAAACATTTTAAAAGGGATATTAAAATTCCGTAGTCAGTTCTCACCTGCATGTACCGCGGATCTTTTGAATACTCATCAAAGTTACTTATCAATATGAAAAACGGTACGATCTATAAAAATTATCAAATAGGTGTTTATCTCACAGCAGCGACACGTAGCACAACTGTGATCAACGCTACCAACTGATAGGTTCCAACTAAATAAATGATCCAGGTGAGAAACAATCGCTTATATACCAAACTGCATACATTATGTTTAACAGATAGGCTACAGAAGCTTATAGCTATATGTGGTCATAACTAAATGATTACATTATATAATTTACAGTTCATTAAACCAGTAGGTTGAATGGGTGCAGATTCTCGACGAAGCCAACAATCACTGTGAGTCCCAAATGTTTTTTACGAAAACCCTATAAAGTAAGTATTTACAATTTCTTGCAACAGACGAATGTTTGAATTTTCGCAGATTCCTGGGATTCTAACACTATACCGAACACAGAAAGTATAGATTCAAAATCTATTACTAATCGAGAATGTGATTATCATCCTAATGTGAATAATTATTTTATATCTAGTATCAATCAACAGGGGTAATTGCAAGAATAAAACTAGATTTTATGAGGTAGTGAAATTTCTGATTGAATCGATAAGTATAAATTATTTGCACAATATATGGAAAGTAAGCTTTGAATATACAGCTGACGCAAGTGTATGAACAGTCAACAATGAAAGCACACATTACAGTACAAGGATATGATGGATTTATTATTATTTATTTATTTGAACACATGAATATTGGTACAAGAGGGGACCAAATAAACATGCGCCACACAAAACTATGAGAATAAGAAAAGAAAAAAAGGTAAGGAGCGTAAAGGAAAAAAGAACAATAACGACCAGACTAATGTAAGGTAGTGCAATAATAATAATGATAATAATAAAATAATAGTGATAATAATGGGGAAACGGAAAGGTACAATCGGAAGAAATCTTTCAGTTAAGGAAGATACAACAACTTTTTACGACGAAAGTAAAAGAAGGTTACAGCAGGATCGCCACTGGCTTCTATTATGAGCCATATATGGTAACGTCTCTAGCCACTGTATTGTACCATCTCTCGGACCCCAGCCAAGGAGTCATGAAGGACCAACACAGGCCACCCCTTTGCAGCTTTCTTTCATACCACGACACCATGTCATACACCGACCACCTCTCCGCTTCTTCCAACCAGTCCCACAGTCGGCAAATAATGCACGACGTGGAATTCTCTGGGACGACATTCGGAGAACATGTCCAAGTCACCGAAGTCGGTGTTTCAAGATGGTGACACCAATTGAATTATCATCTCTGTGCCCGAACACACGATGCCGAACCTCTGCATTACTGACATGGTGTTGCCACTGAATGTCAGCAATCCTCCGGAGACAGCGATGATCGAACACAGAGAGTCGTCTAACATCCTCAACTCGGAGAGACCAGGTTTCATAAGCATAGAGCAGAACTGCTCTCACCGACGCGTTGTAGATCCGACCTTTTACAGCCAGACTAAAATCACGAAGGCGCCAAAGATGGCCCAGATTGACATAAGCCACTCTGGCTTTCACTATACGTGCATTGATCTCATCACTCACACCCCCACCAGCACTTATGCAGCTACCCAGATACACGAACTTCTCGACTACGTCTATCTGCTCACCATCCAGGGTGAGTACAGGATTGGAATCCTGCCAGTCTTGTAGAAGTAATTTGCACTTCGAAGGTGCAAAGCACATACCATACCTACGAACACTGATTGTCAACTGATTAAGTGCGGATTGCATGCCTTGGGCATTATCGCACAGTAAGACAATATCGTCCGCATACTCAAGGTCGAGAAGTCTCTCTCCAGGCAACAGATCCACACCACCATTACTTACATTCATCAGAGCTGTTTCCAGAATGTCATCGATGGCAAAGTTGAAGAGGAATGGTGAGATTGGGCAACCCTGTCTAACCCCACTGCTCGAAGGGAACAATGGAGAAAGGTGGTTGTATGCCCTCACTCTGCCTGAGGTGTTTTTATATAGGGCTTTTAGGATGTTAATAAACTTCTCAGGCACACCCTTCTTCAATAGACAATCCCAGAGAACAGTCCTATCCAACGAATCGAAGGCAGCCCTGATGTCAAGAAACGCTACGATTGTTGGCCTTTGATAAGTATGACGGTGTTCTAACATTTGGCGGAGGGTGAAGATATGATCAATACATTCTCGACCAGAACGAAACCCAGCCTGCTCCTCACGAGTCAATCTTTCTCGGGTTTTGAACAACCTACGAGGTATGACGGAAGCCAATAGCTTGGACGCAATCGGAAGTAGACTTATCCCCTGATAGTTGTTACAGGAACGACGTGAACCCTTTTAAAAGATAGGGACAACTATCGGCTCATTCCATGACGTTGGTACACTCTCTAGTTCCCAAACCTTTGTAAACAACGTCGTCAATTCCTTAGTCAAAAAGTCACCACCATCTTTAAAAAGAGCCGGAGGTAAGTCATCTGGGTCAGGTGATTTGTAGCGCTTCAAGAGTTGGAGTTCCTTGCGGACTTCCGCCTCGTTTGGTGGATCAGTCGTCACCGGCCATGGAGGGCAGGACAGTCTGACCGATATTGCCGGAGCAGCAGGCCAGTTGAACTGCCCTTCGAAGAATTCTGCCCATCGTCCAAGACGTCGATGGATGTTAGTGATTGGCATCCCGTCATCCTCGCGGATTGTTTCACTCACACCAGACTTCTTGCTGCCAGTGGCTCGGATGAGTCTTCAATACGGGTCTCGGATAGACAACAAACATCAATATTAAGACTTTCCAAAGACATAGCCAGCCCTATCTGTCGTCCAACCTGCATAAGTGTGCGAACGTTGAAGGCAGCCAGTTTGAATGGTGCACGTGGTTTCAGAAAAACTGCTTCAGTCCTCGTATTCGGTGGTAACATACAATTTTCAACCGGACAGTGACTCGAGAACGTTTAGATACAGTCGGATTTCCGCCATAGACGAGCTGCTGTATAAGTCGAGAAATAAGGATAGACAGAGTGGAAATAAAAGAGAGTGGATAAATGACGTAGTAATTAATAATAATAATAATAATAATAATAATAATAATAATAATAATAAATTGAATCGTTTGATTGTTAATCGAAGCAAGTATAGTATTTTCCGTAGGTATTGTCATTTTATTCTGTTTGTGTGTGGACTGTGGTACTGCCTGGGTGCCCAGATCGAAGCAGGTGGTTTTCTTAGGGGGTCACTCCCCGAGCCTTTGACCTAAAGGTCTAACCCACAAGGCAGTGGAGCATCGTTAGGAGATACGGTCCCATGATAGCCAGTGACTAACGATTGGTTCATACGCCATTTGTTCCCACAGGATACTAGAGTCCATGTGCACCATTGGTTTGGGATCCGGTTAAAGCGCCGGACATTCGCTTTTCGTCCTCTCATTTTCGTAAACAACACCCCCGCCACGAGAATGCAATGAGTAGGACTTCCCTGGAAGAGACTGTATACGCGTGGCCGTGTGAAAGCATTTCGAGAGGGGGCGGGCCCGTCCCACTCTCGGTCATACCAGGGCATTCGAGGGCTGATAATCAAACATGTTTAAATATTTGCGGAGTTTTGAAAGGAATACACAAAATAGGGATATAAAATGATACAGCCACATATGCAAATAGTTTAAAGATACTCAATTAAACATGCAAACAAAAATAGAAGGGAGAATCATAAATTTAGTCATAAATGTAGGCTCACAAAATAAAGTAATACTAACCTGAAATATTTGTGTCCCCAAGGTAAAATTGGCAAACTCCATCATGATTTCATCATGTATTTTTTCAATCGAATTCTTCCAATCAATATTGAAGCCCTTCACTATTCGTGTTACACGAGCTGATGAGAAATAGAGGTGTGAAGGTATAAAATGAAATAACTGCAGACTAAACCTACAAAATATCACTATTCACCATAAAATTAACATAGCACACTGTTTACTATATTGTTTAGCAATACAAATAACTCAAGTATTGTTCAGTGTAATACATTATCTTTCTCGGTTGTAAGACATTTTGATGTAGTGATAATTAAAAAATATATGTATTTCAAGATATGCTTTGATAAGATACTAACATAACTAGTTTATAATTCAGTCTTCAAAAGATCATCAAGTATTCAAACTACTATAAACTACAACACTATTTCGAATCTCGTTGGTACATCATGAGAGATGTTTCCGAATGAATCTTAAACCAAATAACTGATTGATACCATTTGGTGGGACTTCGCAAATGACCTAGCTCTTCTATCCCATACACACACAAAATGAAGATGAAGACAACTAGTGCAGCAGCAACCTCTACATCAGTAGGGGTCAACATACGCAAGTGAAAAAGCGAAATTCGCAAATACAACACGGAGAACACCAACCCAATCACATTAAGTGGAGCTCTGGACGAGATGGGAAAGATCATCAACGAACAAGGAGGATCAGATGCAGACGTAAAGGTGAGGATTGGCAAATCAAGGGTCACTTTCATACAACTGAAGAGCATATGGAACTCAAAATAACTGTCAACCAATATCACAGTCACAATCTTCAATATGAACGTCAAGACAGTTCTACTGTAGGGAACTGAAACGTGGAGAACTACTATAGCCATCATTAAACACATACAAGTATTTATAAACAGTTGTTTATGCAAGATACTCAATATCCGTTCACCGGATACAATCAGCAACAGCCTATTGTGGCAGAGAAGAAATCAGTTCCCATCTGAAGAGGAAATTAGGAAAAGACTTTGGAAGTGGATAGGATATACATTACGGAAATCACCAAACTGCATCACGACACAAGCGCTAACTTGGATTCCTGAAGGGAAACGGAAAAGTGGAAGACCAAAGAACAAAATGCATTGGGAATCAGAAGCAGACATGAGAAAGATGAACAGAAACTGGAGACAACTAGAAAATATTGCCGAAGACAGGGTTAGATAGGGAATGCTGGTGGGCGGTTTATCCTTCTCCACGAGGGGTTACAGGCGTAAGTGACTATTTAGCTGAAAACTTATCAGTCGGCTTCACTACATTAACACGAACGATAATGTTTAGGACCAAAGACAATATATGGCTTGTACAGCGTTATTTTTGAGACATCAAATCACGTTGACCGCCTGCTTTGAAGTCAAATAACAATTAGATTAATCCACAATAGGTAGTAGACTAGGATTATTTTAAGCACTTATGGTTCATCTAAAATCCGTTATTGAGAAATTGAGTCACATTTTTGTTATGTCCCTTAACAAAGAAGGAAAAAGACTTTTGCAAGTTGAATTGCTTTATTTCTCTTAAGTTACTGAAGTGAAGTTAGTTTGTTTCAATTAGAAAATGTCAAACAAGTAAAACCACTGTAATTACCCTAGAATAACATTTTATTACTGGGACCTAAATGAAACTCCATAAGTAATTACCTTGATACGCATTTTTTGTAACTAAACCCAATAAAGTTAAATACATAAGCATTCACTATTTCTCGAAAGAAACAACCTGAATGAAGACAAATGACATCATAGTGTCCTTAAACCATAATGCCTACGATTATTTTGAACAATGCAAAATAAAATTTGATAACTGGGAATCAAAAATATATTTCTGCTGCTACAATAACTTGACTATGAAGACCACAAATCAATTATCATCGATGTAAACATGATAACTAATACTGTTCTTCAACTAAAGAAAGTAGCAGGGATAGAAAACATAAGTTTATTAAAAAATGTATCATATAACTGCAGACACCGTACTGTTAAGCTGCTAACGTATTCATTAACACTCCACACTTTTTTACATGTAATCACTCTGTTATCGAATGTGGAAAGAGTTCGTTCTTCCTTTCATCTTCTATTCACAAATCTCATATATAAGTGTTATTATGTAAGTGAGAGAAATCGGATGATAAAGAACGCACAAGAAAACTTACCAGTTAATCCTTACATAAAACAAGATTTATTAAGATCTACAGACTGTTCCTTAATATTTGAATAATTTCATCAATTTACACTTCACCACTTCATTTACATTCATGTTAATACTAATTACAGAATCATTCTTACAGTTGATGATGAAGTCAAAAAAGAATAGTGAATAAGAAATGCACGCAATTTAGGAGACACAATAGTTTACTATATCATTATTTTTAATCTTTGAGTAACAAATTAGAAACATGCGATAATATACTGCTATTTACAGCTAGAGTGATCCAGAATTTTAAACGGCCAACTTTAGTTTCTATATGCAGTCGAGCAAAATAATATCTAAGACAGCCTACGATTATAAATTTTGTCTCAGAGAGATTTAATAGAGTTGAAAGAAAATCTAGAATCCAGAAAGATTCTTTAAAGTACATAGATACCACGATAACCATAGATAACGTTATTTTAACAATGAATGGCAGTATAATACCTTCCTCACTACGAATATTTTGGGTCACTTCGTCTTGATTTTTCGACAGATGATGACTTTCACTAGTTGATCTGGCTTCGACATCGCGAACAAAAGATATCAGACAACCAAAATAAGGTGACAAGGCTTCATCGATGTATGATGTCATATGCTTCGCTACAGCTTCACGACATCGAATAACCTCGGAAGAATCAGCAGCTCCATGTTCCTACACAATAAATAAAGCGTTCAAACAAGCAAATGAAACAAATGAATATAGATAAGAACCAATAAGTTAAAGTTTTATGCACATATATATAACTTACAGTTAGTACACTTATAACCAAATCATAATTGTTGATTAGAAATATGTGTGCTAATTTTGGACGTGAAAATGTTTTGGCTAGAGAATTCAGTACATGTTCGAATTGATTTTGCAATTGAGCCAAACGACTGAGGATACGAGGGTCTAAAGCAGGCTTCAAATTTGCAAGATTTTGTTGAAATGTTGGTTCATTGTGTAAAGAGTACTGTAAATTTGAACTCTCTGAACTCTTAGATTTACTCATACTGTCATCAAAAAGTGGAGCTGTGGAGTAAAATGAAATTTTACAGAAAAATTTACAATTAACTTTTTAAACAGCAGACACATACTCATGCATTTCTAAGTCATAACAGGAATAACCTATGCAAGAATAATGAAAATCATGTGTAGTGTCGGCATATATATATATATATATATATATATATATATATATATATATATGCTCAGCTATGAGGTTCACTTTTTGTGACAACTAGCGAATTGCTGAAATAGGTAGAAAGGGGTTTGGACATGTGGTCGAAGGGTTGGAAGTTAAGGTTTTTAGCCACTAATCCACAATATTTGGAAAAACGTACTCATGATTAATTAGATGATACAAATTGTTGTATGGTCTGTTAAACGTATATAGAAACGGTTGATACCAAAATTAGATAACTAATTAGCAATTATAGTCATATTCAATACTATAAGTTTTGGTACAGTAAAGATTCCTCAGCATCAATTTTATAATGTTACGACAAATATTTATTCAACGCACATTCAAATTTAAATTGTTCGAACCACATTTTAGAAATGTTTTATATAGTTAGTATCTTTCAACCCTGTTCAATCAGCAAAGCTGCTACAACTATTTTCTCATCCACATATACAGGGTGTTTGTTTCTAAATACATTTGTGTCTTGTTTGTCAAAAGATAGATAAAAGAGAAATAAAGCAAGAACTGTAGTGTTTCTGTTTGAGTTTTCCAGTACTTAGTATCACAAGTTTGTAATCCTCTTATGGTACAATGTGAGAACGTATAGTTGCCATTTATAATTATTCAATTCGAACAAATAAGCAGTTCATTTGCAATATTTGCACTGTTAGAAAATAAATATGTCAAATGTTTAAGCAGGCCACTGTATGTATTGATGGCTAACGTTTCAGTTTCATTACAACGAATAACAGTTGTAAAAAAGCTAAATTGACAATAAGTTGGTTTTTATTAGTTTACCTTATTTGTTCTAGATGTACAGATAACAAACAAATAATCGAATAATAAACAACATTTCTCAAATCGTATTTAAAAACAAGTTTACAAGTTAATACATCCGTATTCTATCCTAACGCTACATATCTTTAAACAATGTCTAGTTAGAGATTTAAGTCTGTAACATACCACAAGTCAGTAACAATTCGATTAAAGAATTATAAATAACACATTCTACTTAAAAGCATCGATACTACTAAACTCCTTAATCTGTGATGCATAATATAAATATTGAACTTATGAGTTCAACACCGTGAGTAGATTTCTATGGGAGTAATGTATAGTTCGACAACAGGGAGCCATTTAACTCATCTCCGTAGCTACATGGTTAGAAATGGATTTGAAACAGAACGAAAGAGATGAGAAATAAGTTGGACGGTGACGTAGAAAGGAATGATTTTTATTACTGTGGTTTTATTATTGTAACAGCTATGTAAAGATTTCTTTTAACTCCTGAAAGAAAGGTAGAACAAAACACTTCTTCTAAAGTAAACAAAACGATAAGTTTGAGGAATAAAATAAGCTAAGTTTCTGAGTATTAATAACACTATCAATAAGAGCACACTTACTACCAGGGAAATGATGTCCGATTGAATGTAGGCTAGCAGCTAATTCAGCATAACGTCTGGCTATCCAATGAGGACGAATAAGAGCATACATTTTAGGGTGTAAACTGACAGTGGTATTTCCGGTAGCATTTGTAGGTATATTGACATTTAGGGTGGATAAATTGGACTTCATAATATCACGAGCGTCTGTACTAAAACTGCTGACATCCAAATACTGCAGCATGGATGCTATATGTACATCCAGTCTATCAGTAACACGTACCCACAAAGTCTCAGTCATTTTACCCCAAAAACTATTAAATGAGCAAAATGGCACAAAAGTCAATCATCTACGAGGAATCAAATGTACAATATAAATATCAGATATTCTACGGGAATCAGATTTTACTGATGATTTTACATTGATAAACACAAAACATCTGAAAATTATCCAAAAATTTAATCCAAATATTACTTTAGTTTTTAGGATTATACCTTCATTACTGAACTCGATCGATCAAAAACCTAAACACTTTTAGTCCAAAGAAGTGGAATTAATTCGAATAGTGAACGAAAGAGAAATATTTGGTCTCTGAATCATTTAAGTATGTTTTTCCACATTCTAAATGTAATTTTCACATACTTGTCCTCAGAGGTTTTGGGTAACTAATTTGATTAATAGTCCCCATTGCTTACCATCTCATTTCAAGTGAAGGTTAATCCGGTAACATATAATTATGAACACACAAACAATCCCATCTAAGCTGAATTTTTGATATCGAAACATATACGCCATTTTACATTACCCAACCCATAGCATTTACGAAGTGAGAGAGATATCCAGTTGCTTACCAACAGAAACTTGGTGAAAACGTCTACGACTAATAAAAAAATATTTTTCGTGATATCCCAATGAGTAGAAAATTGTATTTTTGGTGTTACGTGACTTAATGTAAGTCACTTCTTCAGAGTAAATAAATAACCGAAATAAAATTAACACAAGCATAATCAGTACAACAAAATACATTCGTTATTAAGTTGATAACCAAGGCTCCATTTGAAACTATCAAATCTAAGATTGGCATTGACACTTACTTACTTATCGGTAGGCTAAACATATTTCATCGTGTTTTTTGCAGCATTTTCACCTTTTGAGGTAACCACCACCAACTTTCTTAAATTCACACAAGACCAACACCTGAGGAAACCAACGAGACTACAGGACTGTGTATCTGAAGATAAAGTCTTAGTTATCTCGAAAAGAAACACGGGCAGGGATGAATGGAATAATCAATAAAGGGAAGTCATTCATGAGATAAATGACTGCTGCGTAGTGGAGTTGTTGAGTCCCTAGTTTTTATGCTTCATATTTAGTAAATCATTGGTTGAAAGATTCACTTAGCATATCCTAAAACTGATCGCAGTTTCGCAAACGGATACCTCCATTTAAATATAAGAGAATACTATCACACTGAATTTAGGCGATATGAGAATCAAGGCAGAGAAATTTTACGAAATGTATGGTGTAAAAACTGATTTAGAACTGCGAAAAAAATAAATGCATAATCTCTAAAACTTACTCATCCAACACAGGTACCCCTCTCTCTTTAGCCAGACGAAGCAAAGCATGTAAAAGCTGAAGACAAATTAATAAACCGACTGCATCATGAGAACAAGAAGAAATCATGAAAGTTCCAGTAAATTTATGTATCCAACTTAAACTACGACTCATAACTTGCTCGAATAAATGAGCTAAGGCTACACCACTTTGAGTTCGACCTTGATTGGGTGTACTTTGATTGCAAGATGGTGGTGAATCAACAGACTCAGTTTCTGTGCTAAGAAGGAAGAAATCTGACAGAAAATAATATTCTCGACATGCAGTATCCAGAAGCGCGTAGTGAATGGAACGAAATAAAACTTCAATAGGGTACTACATGGGAAATAAAGGGTTTGGAAAGTAAAACAAAAGTAAAATCTTATATAAACTGATCACTAAACTCTATACAACAGAAAAAAACCTTCAAGACTATATAGTGATAAATGTCTATTGCGGGTCGTTATTTAAAATCAAAAGATACTGTCCTAAATTATTGTGGGAAATCCTTATGAAAACTATTTAGCGTTCAAAACAAGAATAGTTTAACAATCACGTCTGAATGACTTGTCGCTAATTTTGGCAACTCTCCTTGAAAAGTCAACAGAAATGAACTTGAAGTCGATAATAAAGTTTTATTCTCGAGACCCTAACATCCTTAAAAGTTTAGTATTAGGTTGATGAGAATTGATTCCAGTCCTCTACGAAAATCTTTATACCATACACTGTGTGAGAGCTTTAATATCAGTCACTGAAGTACAAATTAAAACAGGTAAGTCTCAATTTCAGAAACTGATGTGACGAAAAAATAAATAAATAAATTTCCTGTTCGCTATTTTTGAGGCCCTGGATGACCGAACCGTAATACAAGAGAGCAGTTATACCGATCTAATCCGAGTATTAATTAGTTAGCCTAGACTGTCTATCTAGTACTGATGACCGGCTAACAAATGACATGATGATAATGAAAGAACAGCCAAGAGAAATATCTGGCGAAAATCGGCCCAGAATAGTTTTCCACGTCCGCTTCCTCGATAGTTAGAATAGAACGCAATTTATTAAGCACGTAACTTCTAATTAAAAAGTCCCAATTTGCATACAATAAAATAAAGGCCGGACTACATATCAACATAATTAAGAAATCATGATATGGGTATAACTACGTAGTAAAAGGAAGAAGACTGAGTGATAAGTCCGTAATAAATTAACAATAACTTGGGAAGGGAAAACACGCAACAATAGTTTATGTGTCAAACAAAAGCTTACAGGCACGGGGACATAAAAATACAATAATAATAATTACACAACAAATTATGAATATTAACTTCAGATGAGACCGTTGTGAAAGTTCTGATGTGCTTAATATTAATCCCAACAGAGCAGACAACAAAATGCAAACTCGTAATCAGTATGACTTGAATTTATTTCAACCCATATTTCAGTATTTTTTTTGGAAAACCAAGGTGGAAGTGTATTATTTACTTGCTTGCTTACGCTTGTGTACCCCTCGTGAAGGAGTATAGATTGCCTGCCAGCATTTGTAGTGGCTCAGCTTCGTTAATCAGTCAACTTTAAAACCGTTATTATATAAATCCCAACGGTGTTTGAAATCAGAAGTCTATAAGAAGCGGCGACTAGTTTATTAGTGGATAGCACAGACAACAAAATTACAAGCACATGGAGCGACTCCGAGCAGAGAAGTTAATGAGTGTACGAGAGAACACAAAGGCGAATTTATGGTCAAATCACATAAGTGCACAGCAAGGCAAGGCAAAGGTTAATAATAGGATTCGAGTACATATATACATGGGAAAGAGAATGACTCATAGAGCGATATTTAAGGTATTAGCATTTTAGTTAGAGATATGTGAGTAAGCTGTCACATGTGCTCAAGCGTACATGTTTATACAGACATGATAGTGACCACAATAGTACAAAGAAATAGACTAACTTTTAGCATCAGAATAACATTATCTGTTAAGTTAATAAAAGGGCTTAACCAAAATTAACTATAATCGAAATCGGTTGTAGGAGTGTTGCTATAATTCTTTGGTCTTACACTTTTCCGTTTCCCTTTAGGATTCCAAGTTTGGTCTTGCCTCTTCATGCAGTTTGATGATTTCTGTAATGTATGTCCTATCCACTTCCAGAGTCTTTCCCTAATTTCCTCTTCGGATAGGGACTGATTTCATCTCTCCCACAGTAGGCTACTGCGGATGGTAATCGGCCAACGGATATTGAGTATCTTGCGTAGACAACTGTTTATAAATACTTGTACCTTTTTGATTATGGAAATGTATTAGCATATTCAAAATCAAGAAATCAGAAAATTATACTGATTCACTTACTTTAGCATCCACGTTGCTGGCCACATGTGGTAAAATAATAGCACTTTCTAGATTCGATTTACCAAGTACACGAAGTGCACGATCACTTAATCCAAAAAGTCCAACACGTGTTCCAGAATTAGAAGACACTGATACGGTTGGATTATTAGTAACATTAGTAATTGAATTGAACATCAGACTGGATGTAGATGATGCAGAATTGTATTTATCTGGATTTTTCCCTAATAAATCATCTTTTTCATAAGTTGTATCAAGCTACATTAACGAGAGAAAAGAGAACAGAAGTGTAACATTTTTATGAAAAATTATAAATCATGCAAAATTTAATTAGATGGAATCTACGGAGATGGGTTTCGTAGGTTGATTACTGGGATTCTAACCACGTGATTGTACGTGATAATTGTTGTGAGTTTAAGCCCGGCTAATTACCATGTGACTTATTCACCAATCAGAATACGACTCACACAATCTTAGCACTGTGCCAAACCAACGACGTTCAACCAGTATGAGCAGCCCAGCGTCTTTATTGGTCCTTTTCCATTCTAGCCCTGCCAGTTGAGTCCAGAATATCAATAATAGCTTCTACTATACGAACCAGTTATTTCAAACATACCTGGTATATATACAAGCCAAACGGCCCACATCACATCATAAAACAGAAAATAACATTTGTACAAGATCAAGCCAAAAAGTGGCTGTGACCGTGGGAGACTGTAATCAACAAACTAAGTATAATTTAAGAATAGTAAACCGTATCATAATAGTCCATAGGTCAAAATAAAGCTTATAATAAAAGGAATATAGATATACACAATCTAGTTACTAAATAGTTGCACAATAAGAATATATATATTAGTCCATTAATGGTTCTCAGAAGTTACCCGCAATTTAATCTTCACTAGGATATAATAATTATTATTATTATTACTATTATTATTATTATTGGCAGTTGAGTGCATTTCTTACTGATTTCTGAGTTACATTGAACAAAAGAATTATTTACAATTACAATAATAACTTACTATTATGAAGACGTATATTCACTGCATATTGGACGAAAGATTTTTTGTGCGTGAGAGACGGTTCCGATTAAAAAAGGGGGATTTAAACATACTACTCATACTATTTGTATATAAATTTAGGTTTCTTTAAGAAACGCACGTATCTGATTTTCTTTTCCAAACAATTTATACCTTCTCCTCTTACATATTATCTTTATAACGATATATTCTTTTGTATAGTTGTAAACGCTGATACCACCCAATTAATTAACCTAGTACTTTAAATCAGATAAATATTTAACAATCTCAATATTATTTGTTAAAATCAAATACACACTGATCATGATGTACTATTTTTTTCCTTTCATGAGAACATACAAAAAACTAGATTATTATCATTAAGCACTATTATACTGCCCTGGTACGACCGAGAGTGGGGTGGGCCCGCCCTCCCTCTAGAAATACTCTCACACGGCCGCGCGTATACAGCCTCTGCCAGGGAAGTCCTACTCATTGCATTCTCGTGGCGGGGGTGTTGTTTACGAAAATGAGAGGACGAAAAGCGAATGTCCGGCGCTTTAACCGGATCACAAATCAATGGTGCACATGGGCTCCAGTATCCTGCGGGAACGAATGGCGTATGAACCAATCGTTGGTCACCGGCTACCATGGGACTGCATCTCCTTACGATGCTCCACTGCCTTGTGGGTTAGACCTTTAGGTCAAAGGCTCGGGGAGTGGCCCCCTAAGATAACCACCTGCTTCGGTTTGGGCACCCGGGCAGTATCACAGCCCACACACAAATGATGAACTCTCTATGCCTATGGAAATTACTTTTCTCGCTTCGAAAAACAATCAATTGATTCAAATTATTATCATTACAATTATTGTCATTATTAATACTATTATTATTATTACCATTATTGTCATTATTATTATTATTATTATTATTATTATTATTATTATTATTATCATTATTTCCCACATTATTCACCCTCTTTTATACTTATACAGCGGCTCGTCTTTGGTGGAAATCCGACTGTATCTAAACGTTCTCGAGTCACTGTCCGGTTGAAAATTGTATGTTACCACCGAATACGAGGACTGAAGCAGTTTTTCTGAAACCACGTGCACCATTCAAACTGGCTGCCTTCAACGTTCGCACACTTATGCAGGTCGGACTACAGATAGGGCTGGCTATGTCTTTGGAAAGTCTTAATATTGATGTTTGTTGTCTATCCGAGACCCGTATTCAAGACTCTGGTGAAGTACTACAAATTCGCTCTACATCTGTCGCTTCGAAAAGCTTGTTTTACGCGCGCTTATCCGGGGACCCCATGGCATCTTCGTCTAGTCTTGCTGGCGTTGGTGTCGCACTAAGCGCTAGAGCTGAGACAGCACTAGTCGATTGGATCCCCATTAACAGTCGGTTATGTGCTGTTAGATTAGAAAGTTCCAAAGTGTTTATTTATTTTATTTAAACACATAAATATTGGTACAGGAGGGCACCAAATATATATGCGCCACACAAAACAATGAGAATTTGCAGAAAAGGAAAAAAAGGTAAGGAGCGTAAAAAAACGATAACGAATAGATTAGTGTAAGGTGGTGTAATAATAATAATGGGGGAAACAGAAACGTACACTCAGAAGAGATCTTTCAGTTAAGGAAGAAGCAACCACTTTTTATGAAGAAAGTAAAAGGTTACAGCAGGATCGCCACTGGCTTCTATTCTGAGCCATATCTGATAACGTCTCTACTCGAGAACGTTTAGATAGAACCGAATTTCCACCATAGACGAGCTGCTGTATAAGTCGAAAAATAAGGATAGACAGAGTAGGAATAAAAGAGAGTGAATAAATGACGTAGTAAATAATAACAATAGTAATAATAATAATGTGAATCGTTTGATTAATAGTTGTAGCAAGAAAAGTATTTTCCATAATTATTGACAGTTCATCATATTTGTGTGCGGTCTGTGATACTGCTCGGATGCCCAGACCGAAGCAGGTGGTTATCTTAGGGGGCCACACCCCGAGCCTTCGACCTGAAGGTCTAACCCACAAGGCAGTGGAGCATCGTGAAGAGATGCCGTCCCATGGTAGCCGGTGACCAAAAATTGATTCATACGCCATTTGTTCCCGCAGGATACTGGAGCCCATGTGCACCATTGATTTGTGATCCGGTTAAAGCGCCGGACATTCGCTTTTCGTCCTCTCATTTTCGTAAATAACACCCCCGCCACGAGAATGCAGTGAGTAGGACTTCCCTGGCAGAGGCTGTATACGCGTGGCCATGTGCGAGCATTTCGAGAGGGAGGGCGGGCCCACCCCACTCTCGGCCATACCAGGGCATTCGGGGGCACCATCAAAGTGAGAAGAAATCGGCGTGAGAAACGATGTCTTTTCGTCATCTCCGCCTATGCCCCGACAGATTGCAGCCCGGATGCAATCAAGGATGAGTTTTACCACCAGTTATCTGTTCTTCTCCAGAAAGTGCACAGACCACAACCTGTTTCTGGCTAGCACCAACTTTCGGCACAGTCATCGCCGATGTGCCACCTGGCGTCTTCCCTCTGCATCTCAAGCCTGGATTCAGATTGATCACATCGCGATCAGCTACCGCTGGCGTGGTTGTGTACAAGACTGCCGCTCCTTTTGAAGTACCTATCTGGACTCTGACCATGCCTTGGTCTGCGCCAATCTTGCCTTACTTTTCAGTGGACAACGAAGTGACCGCCATCAACGGATTGATATTAGCAAGCTGGTTGCAACTTCTGTTGCAAGTAAGTATCGAACCGAGTTAGCCTCTAGACTAGCTACCATTCCACCGAAAAGTATAGATGAGCATTGGTTGCAATTGCATGACGCCATGAAAATGACGGGTACAGTCAGTTGTGGATTCGCGAAACGTCCCACTTATAAGCACTGGGTTTCTTCTGGTTCCTTACAACTCATTGAAGCCCGTCGGTCTACTCCGAATAACCGTGAGTTTGATCACAAACGAAGGTTGTTACGTAAGGAAATCGGGCAAAGCTTGCGTAAGGATCGAGAAGCCTGGTGGTCGATGCGTGCTAATGAGCTGGAAGCAGCAGCTGCATCTGGTAACTACCGGAAACTCTTCCAGCTCATCCGAGCCACTGGCAGCAAGAAGTCTGGTGTGAGTGAAACAATCCGCGAGGATGATGGGATGCCAATCACTAACATCCATCGACGCCTTGGACGATGGGCAGAATTTTTTGAAGGGCAGTTCAACTGGTCTGCTGCTCCGGCAATATCGGTCAGACTGTCCTGCCCTCCATGGCCGGTGACGACTGATCCACCAAACGAGGCGGAAGTCCGCAAGGAACTCCAACTCTTGAAGCGCTACAAATCACCTGACCCAGATGACTTACCTCCGGCTCTTTTTAAAGATGGTGGTGACTTTTTGACTAAGGAATTGACGACGTTGTTTACAAAGGTTTGGGAACTAGAGAGTGTACCAACGTCATGGAATGAGCCGATAGTTGTCCCTATCTTTTAAAAGGGTTCACGTCGTTCCTGTAACAACTATCAGGGGATAAGTCTACTTCCGATTGCGTCCAAGCTATTGGCTTCCGTCATACCTCGTAGGTTGTTCAAAACCCGAGAAAGATTGACTCGTGAGGAGCAGGCTGGGTTTCGTTCTGGTCGAGAATGTATTGATCATATCTTCACCCTCCGCCAAATGTTAGAACACCGTCATACTTATCAAAGGCCAACAATCGTAGCGTTTCTTGACATCAGGGCTGCCTTCGATTCGTTGGATAGGACTGTTCTCTGGGATTGTCTATTGAAGAAGGGTGTGCCTGAGAAGTTTATTAACATCCTAAAAGCCCTATATAAAAACACCTCAGGCAGAGTGAGGGCATACAACCACCTTTCTCCATTGTTCCCTTCGAGCAGTGGGGTTAGACAGGGTTGCCCAATCTCACCATTCCTCTTCAACTTTGCCATCGATGACATTCTGGAAACAGCTCTGATGAATGTAAGTAATGGTGGTGTGGATCTGTCGCCTGGAGAGAGACTTCTCGACCTTGAGTATGCGGACGATATTGTCTTACTGTGCGATAATGCCCAAGGCATGCAATCCGCACTTAATCAGTTGACAATCAGTGTTCGTAGGTATGGTATGTGCTTTGCACCTTCGAAGTGCAAATTACTTCTACAAGACTGGCAGGATTCCAATCCTGTACTCACCCTGGATGGTGAGCAGATAGACGTAGTCGAGAAGTTCGTGTATCTGGGTAGCTGCATAAGTGCTGGTGGGGGTGTGAGTGATGAGATCAATGCACGTATAGTGAAAGCCAGAGTGGCTTATGTCAATCTGGGCCATCTTTGGCGCCTTCGTGATTTTAGTCTGGCTGTAAAAGGTCGGATCTACAACGCGTCGGTGAGAGCAGTTCTGCTCTATGCTTATGAAACCTGGTCTCTCCGAGTTGAGGATGTTAGACGACTCTCTGTGTTCGATCATCGCTGTCTCCGGAGGATTGCTGACATTCAGTGGCAACACCATGTCAGTAATGCAGAGGTTCGGCATCGTGTGTTCGGGCACAGAGATGATAATTCAATTGGTGTCACCATCTTGAAACACCGACTTCGGTGACTTGGACATGTTCTCCGAATGTCGTCCCAGAGAATTCCACGTCGTGCATTATTTGCCGACTGTGGGACTGGTTGGAAGAAGCGGAGAGGTGGTCGGTGTATGACATGGTGTCGTGGTATGAAAGAAAGCTGCAAAGGGGTGGCCTGTGTTGGTCCTTCATGACTCCTTGGCTGGGGTCCGAGAGATGGTACAATACAGTGGCTAGAGACGTTACCATATATGGCTCATAATAGAAGCCAGTGGCGATCCTGCTGTAACCTTCTTTTACTTTCGTCGTAAAAAGTTGTTGTATCTTCCTTAACTGAAAGATTTCTTCCGATTGTACCTTTGCGTTCCCTCATTACTACCACATTATCTTACATCAATCTCTTCGTTATTGTTCTCTTTTTTTCTATTTCTCTTCGAATTCTCATTGTTTTGTGTGGCGTATATATATTGGCGCTCTTATGTACCAATATTTATGTGTTTAAATAAATAAATAAAAGACAAAAATATTACTGAGGCAAACCCGTCATTTAAGGCACAAAATTTGAAACGATACATTTTTCCATGAAAAATAATAAAGTAGAACGGAATTACAAATGTATGAAGGTTTAGTAAAACTTAGTGACTAACTTGTAATTTGGTTAATTTACCACCATAAGCCTTAAAATAGGCGTAGTAAACTTTACTCATCGTATTGATATACTCCACCCTAACTTCTTTAGCTATCTCTCGATCATGAGCTAAGAGGAACGAATTGTAAAATCTGGATACAAAGGAAGAAAACACCAATAGAAATGTTGAAATATGACTTGAAAAATATAACCAGTTATATGCATCAGGTAGCAACACATGTCGGAATTTTCGCACTTCAAAAATAAGTTTCTTATGTTACTATCACCCTTAAATTCTACATTTCTTCAACTTGTATAATTTAACTCAGGTCAGTCAGATTGAAAACAATTGAATCTTGACGTAACATTTACTCACAAACAGACCGATTAAATTACAAAAGCAAAAGTATATACCAGTTCTAAATTGATTGTTCATGTCTCGAAACACATAGAACGGCAATAATGTGATCCGCAATAACACAAATTATTTTCAACAGATCCATGCTGCAACTGGGATGGTGAAACAACTATCACTTCGAAAATAATATTTCGCTCTAGGATAATTCTTCTAGCTATTAAATGGGACTGTTTGTATCGTTAATCTGTAGTAAGTAATATTCAATCTAGATGAAACGAATTATGCTTTTAAATGGCTTCGAAGAGCGTAAGATGCTCTTGACCTCTTAAAACTCATTCTAAGGACATATTGTTTGTTTTTCGGAGGGTTTGGTGTAATAAGAAAGACTTGTGGAAATGTTGAATAACCAAGAGCTGTTTTTTGTACTCGGCTTTGAATCACATTCTTTGTGTGCGAACTAATTATTCTGCTCAGCTGATAAAACTGAAGTGAAACATGGTCCAAACCTGTGATCAAGTAATTGAGTTATTTATTATTTATTTTATTTGAGCACATAAATATTGGTACAAGGAAGCACCAAATATTTATGCGCCACACGAGTTGAGCTGAACCCCTTATGTTACGCAATAGACATCGTTTGGTATGGGTAACAAAATGAAACAGTTGACAAATAAACAACATAAGCAGCCCCAACCAACATCAATGATTAATTTTTGTCACCTGTATTGACTGACAATCTGAAATGTATGAACTGGTTTGCATATGCGTTTTTCGACCACATAAATGTACGCTCTTACGAAGTAATGTGCTAGTCAATTTGATAGAGCGTATCATTCGATTGGCATTAGAAAGCAATTTGCTTTGATATTAGGTTTCATACAAAAAATATATTACCTCAACGATGAACGTACTAACAGAAGTACCAACGTCATGATAATTTAAAGGAATATCTAGAGGGTCAAAAGTATACATGGTGTTTGACGACACTACGTCTACAAAAATTCCTTTCTGTTGTCAAATAATCAATAGACAATTTGATTTAACCATCAACATTTTATGCATGCTATACGTAATTAATACTTATTATTTGTTGATAACTCGAGACTTCAACTAAAAACATATCACACCTGAAATACTTACCGAAATTTCAGCATTTGGTTTTGAGGAACTTGATAATTTGTAAGTGGCTTACGTAAGGAGTATATTTTACCCAACAGAAATTCCCGGATTTTTGTAACAGCCTAAAGTTAAATTGAAATAAAATAACGTAACAACTGATGGCAGAAGTGAACAAAATATAAAATTTATGGATGACTACTACATATGAAGACAAATAGACAGTTGTTATTTGAAGTAGGTAGGTCCGACCGTTGCTGCTACCTTGACGTGGTGGTCGAGATTGCCTATCGTGACGAATCAATCAACCTATATTGGCTGAAACAATCGTTCCTCAAGTTCCTAACATGCCAGACAGGTCGGTTGAAGAGCATCAAGACTAAAAGCAATAAACCCAAGGTTTGAGGGTGCAACTGTACAGAGAAGTGACGGCAGTAAGGTGTTTCCTTAATAAAAAGCATAACAGCAATGCTGCCTTCCCACAAGGTAGGGTGGGTTTACAAAACGTCGACCTTAAAACTGTACACCTAGCCTTATCCCATGGATATCCGTCTCCTGCGGTAATGTCTCAACAAGTACGGACAAAAAGTCGTGTTTGACCGACCCCAAGCAGTTGTCCCTTGGGTACTGAGGTCACGCCCTCAGGTCACTAAAAACACCTCTAATCCAATTTCCTTTTCAGGTACCTCCAGAAGAACCCTTCCACAGTATGGGCAACCGGGAAGTGATAACCGCCCTCATACCTCTAACGGCACTCAAGACCACTGTATTCGTAATCAACCTCCCTCTTCAATTCCTATTATTCCTCCTACATCGACTTTCAACCCTAAACCTCCTCCTTCGGCTTCCTCCTCAAGTGTCACCATAGCCAACGATTCTAGTGCTCAAAACTCTGTCCCAGGTCTACTGAAACCTCGCTCCAAACTACACATTGGAGCTTTCAACGTACGCACTCTATGTCAAATCGGTCAGCAGGCTTCCTTGGCTAAAACCCTAGAGTCTCTTTCCATTGATGTATGCTGTGTCTCCGAAACACGCATACAGGATTCCAGTGTGGTCATTCACTTGACCTCACCTCGGCAACACGGAGAGCCAACGAGATACACCCTCCGTGTATCTGGTGACGCGATGGCCAGCTCTCGTGGACTGGCAAGAGTAGGGATAGCACTAAGCATGAGGGCCGAACAAACACTGTTAGAGTGGATCCCCGTTAACAGTCGTTTATGTGCTGTTCGAGCAAATGGCTCCGTAAGAACTCAGAAGGATAGGGACACACGTCGCTGCCTTTTTGTCGTTTTTGACTACGCTCCCACCGACTGCAGCCCAGATAAAATGAAAGACGAGTTTTACAGAAAGCTATCTGAACTTCTTCAGAAAGCTAAACGTTCAGACATAGCACTCGTAGCAGGTGACTTTAATGCCCAGATAGGTAGTTTAAACCAAACAGAAAGGCATTTAGGTGGGTATTTTAGTATTCCGGCACAGCAAACAGATAATAGTGATCGTCTGCTGCAACTGTGCTCAGACAATCGTTTATTTTTAGCAAACAAATTTTAAGCATAAGGAGAGACATCGTCTAACATGGCGACCCCCTACACCAAACCAACGATGGACTCAAATAGACCATATTGCCATCAGTCATCGTTGGAGAGGCCCAATAGAAGACTGTAGCTCGTTCTCGAATACTTGTTTGGACGCCGATCATGCTCTAATATGAGCACACATATGCTTGCACCTCTATGGACGCAGGAAAACCACATTAAGGAGACCCATTAAAGCCAAAAGTAGATTCCAAGAACAACTGAGACCACGCTTAGGCAGTTCTGAAAACGAGGCTGACCCAGATGTTGTTTGGAAAAATATACGAACAGCTGTGGAAACAGCAGTGACATTTGTTAGTGATTTGAACCAAATGGTAACGAAAAACCAGTGGATTTCCGTTACATCTATTGCGTTGATAGACTCTTGTAAACTCAGCCCATCAGGTTCCAAACACGATGAAGAGCAAAAACAAATCAGATCCAGGTTGACAAAAAGTCTGCGGAACGACCGTGAGCAGTGGTGGGCAACAAAAGCAAAAAAGATGGAAAATGTGGTGGCTGTAGGTAACACAAGACAGCTCTACAGACAAATAAAAGAAACTGAAATTAAGAAGTCAAGTGTGAGACAATCACGGAAAACGACAACATTCTTATCTGTCCCCAGTCCAGACGTTTAGAACGATGGGCGGAAAACTTTAAGGAGCAGTTCAGCTGGCATTCAGCTACTCTACAACTACCCACAGTTCCCAGAGTGTAAATGGAACATTAAAGTAGGCCCCCCGACTCTAGTCGAAGTCCAAAAGGCTAAAGCTAGTCTGAAACGAGGAAGAGAAGCTGGTCCAGATGGTGATCCAATTTTAGCGATTAGGTTGACTAGTATTTTAGATAAAATCTGGGAGTTGGACGCAATCCCATCGGACTGATTGCAACCACTGATTGTCCCAATATATAAGGGGTCAAAATCATCTTGTGAAAACTACAGAGGGAATAGTTTGACTAGTATAGCATCTAAAATACTAGTCTCAATAATTATCGGACGCCTGACTAAGACTCGTGAACTGCAAACACGAGGAAATCATGTTGGTTTCAGACCTGGTCGTGGCTGCATCAACCACATATTCACCATTCGTCAGGTTCTAGCACACAGACATGCTTACCGGTGTCCGACAATGGTGGTCTTTCTTGACTTAAAAACAACACTTGACTCTGTAGATCGCGAGAATCTGTGGCAGTGTCTGTCATTGAAAGGCGTACCTCAGAAGTAAATAAACATTATGCAGGCTCTTTACTCGAACATTACCAGTCGAGTTAGAACTTATGGCGAACTGTCATCTGCTTTCGCAACCTCAAGTGGTGTCCGGTAACGCTGTCCACTTTCTCCATTTTTGTTTAATTTCACCATAGACCTACTGATGGAAATAACGCTGTCATTGACTGAGTTTTGGGGCATTGATCTCCTACCAGGAGGTCCACCTATCGACTTAGAATACGCAGATGACATAGTCCAGTTTGGTGAAAATGCTAATAAAGTACAGTCTTTTGGTAGCACTGAGCAACAATGCCACGATGTCTGGGGTGCATTTCTCCCCCCTTAAATACAAGTTGTTGCTTCAGGATTGGCCCGCATCAACACCTGAACTAAGGATAGGAAGTGAAGTAGTCGAACGCGTTGATAACTCCACTTATCTTGGAAGTTTAATCAGCTCTAATGGGTTGGTGTCTGACGAAATCTCTTCAGGGATTCAAAAAGCTCGTTTGGCTTTTACCAACTTACGTCACCTATGGCGAAGACAAGATATCCGCCTATCAATTAAGGGACATGAATCCACCGGACATCGAAGCAGCACACATAGATCTTCCTATAGATGTCAATCCACCAACTACGGAAGAAATTAGAATGGCCGTCACACAAATCAAGAATGGGAAAGCAGCAGGACCTGACAACATACCAGCTGAAGCACTGAAATCAGACGTCGAAGTAACCACAAGCATGCTTTATCTTCTATTCAAAAAGATTTGGGAGGAGGAACAAGTGCCGATGGACTGGAAAGAAGGACACCTCGTCAAGATTCCAAAGAAAGGAGATCTGAGCAAATGTGAAAACTACAGAGGCATAACACTACTGTCAATACCAGGGAAAGTCTTCAACAGAGTGTTGCTGAACCGGATGAAGGATGCAGTAGACGCCCAACTTCGAGATCAACAAGCTGGATTCCGTAAGGATCGGTCGTGCACAGACCAAATTGCAACACTACGGATCATCGTCAAACAATCAGTTGAGTGGAACTCATCATTATACATCAACTTCATTGATTATGAAAAGGCATTCGACAGTGTAGACAGGAGGACGTTATGGAAACTTCTTCGACACTACGGAGTTCCTGAGAAGATTGTCAATATAATCCGGAACTCATACGACGGACTACAGTGCAAAGTAGTGCATGGAGGACAGCTGACAGATGCATTCCAAGTAAGGACCGGAGTCAGACAAGGCTGTTTACTCTCTCCCTTCCTTTTTCTCCTGGTGGTCGACTGGATTATGAAGACCTCAACATCTGAAGGAAAACATGGAATACAATGGACAGCTCAGAATCAATTAGACGATTTGGACTTCGCAGATGACCTAGCCCTCCTATCACGTACACACGAACAGATGCAGATGAAGACAGCCAGTGTAGCAGCAGTCTCTGCATCAGTAGGCCTCAGCATACACAAAGGGAAAACTAAGGTCCTCAAATTCAAAGCGGAGAACAGCAATCCATTCACTCTTGATGGCGAAACTCTGGAAGATGTAGAATCCTTCACATATCTGGGAAGCATCATCGATGAACAAGGAGGCTCAGATGCAGACGTAAAGGCGAGGATCGGTAAAGCAAGGGTCGCATTCCTACAATTGAAGAACATATGGAACTCAAAACAACTTTCAACCAATATCAAAGTGAGAATCTTCAATACGAACGTCAAGGCAGTTCTACTGTATGGAGCTGAAACTTGGAGAACTACAACAACCACAATCAAGAAAGTACAAGTATTTATAAATAGCTGCCTTCGCAAGATACTCAACATCCATTGGCCGGATACCATCAGCAACAGCCTTCTGTGGGAGAGAACAAAGCAACTTCCAGCTGAAGAGGAAATTAGGAAAAGACGATGGAAATGGATAGGACATACATTGCGCAAATCGTCAAACTGCATCACGAGGCAAGCCCTAACTTGGAATCCTGAGGGGAAGCGAAAAAGAGGAAGGCCAAAGAACACATTGCGTCGGATAATAGAAGCAGATATGAAAACGATGAATTACAACTGGACGGAGCTAGAAAGGATTGCCCAGGACAGGGTTGGATGGAGAACGCTGGTGAGCGGCCTATGCTCCTTCACGAGGAGTAACAGGCGTAAGTAAGTAAGTAATTAAGGGACGAGTATATTGCGCAGCAGTCCGTTCTGTTTTACTTTACGGTTGTGAAATGCGGCCATTAAGGGTAGAAGATACTCGTAAGTGACTGGTATCTGGTCACAGATGTTGCTCGCATTTGCTGGGATCACCGGGTACGGTAAGTAATAGTGAGGTTAGACGAAGGGTACCAGGGACTGCTGGTAAATCGTTCGGTTAGGTTGTGAATCCTCATCGACTAAGATGGTTGGGTCATATGTTACGTACGCCTGAACACCGATTACCACGACGTGCAATGCTGACTAGTGTTGGAGACGGGTGGAAGAAAGTTAGGGGCGGCCAAACTAAAACGTGGCATCAGCTCTTGAAGTCACTAACCTCTGATCTGAGCCATGTTGGTAAATGCAGACTATTTGGTTGGGGTCCGCGCGACTATCGTAACCAGTCGTTGGAAACTCTAGGTGACATAGCTTAGAATTTATCACAATGGTGTCGGTGTCTACAGTCTTTGTCTTCCCTTCTACGAACTAATTCTTTCTTCCTGCATTATTTCCTTATACAAAATCTTTCTTTTATACATTACTACCATTGAAGTAACTACTTTATGAATTTGGTGTTCTTCTTGTTGTGCTAATGAGGTATGGCAACCTGGACTGATGCATATATATGCCTGGTCATACGTTGTAGCTGACTGACTGAGGTAGGTAGGTAAGTAAACTAGGTGAACAGGATCTATATTTCAGACGTTCAACTATCACTAATTGTCACAACTGACAAGAACTGATGTTTATTGAGTGAAAAAATTTCAATATTTCAGAGAATCAGAAGTAACCTTAGAAATAAGAAAAGACCTCAAATGAATAAATCCTTAATATCACGTTGAACTACTGATTTTGTAAGTAAGTAGGCATATTTAAATTCGCCTAAATCATGCGGGAAATTGTCGTAACATATATACCTCCTTAGTGCTTTGATTTCACTTAATTAGTGCAGTATAACCAAAAAAATTAAAACTTTTTTATTGGACAAGGGGTATTTAGACTAGTTATCTGGATAAACTGATGCAGACTGAAGACAGTCCGGAGCTGGTGCTTTGTAGTTAAGAGATGACTATCTTGGGTCTAGATAAATAACTAAATTGAAGTATATGCAATCAACAAATAAATCATACACATTTGCAAAGATATACCTACCTTAATTCTCAACTTTTTTAGAAGTACACTAACATCGTTAAATGATTTGTAATCCACCATAGATTGCTCTGACGAGAAATTCATTTTATGATTTAATTCATGAAGGTTTTCAAGGAACTCTTGTTCAGTAACAGGAGTGTACATGATATGTCTAAAAGAATTATTATTAAAAAGGGGTTCGTGAACTGTTGGTTGTTCCAGGTAAAATAACATCAGGAGCACTAAAATACCTCATAACTATGTAATTATCAGATCTTGGTTTACGAAAAGTTAAATTAAGGTAATAGGCATCAGGGTCAATACGCCTGATGTACGAGGTCAAACAGAAGACAACAAAAACCAATAAACTAAATTGAGTAGAAGTGTCGATGGGACCAAAATTGCTCTAAAGACTTATCAAGCTGAGCATTTTGCATTTCAAGTGCAGTAAACAGGACTTTTACGATTATAACACTAGTAACTAAATTTTCTCCTTTGAGATGCAAAGAAGACATGATGGTCTTACTGGTGTGACCTCTGAAGTTGGCGTGTTAGTGATTACTTGACATATTTTCTTAGCCCAACAGTGAGAGTAGTGAAAACAGTTGATGGTACTCGGTATATGGAATAATTTCTATTAGATTACTTTCATCCAGCGTGTAAAGATATAAATATTCATGATCTAATTTTTGAACCTGTAACAAACGTATGATCAGATCAATTGAGTGGTTAATTCGACGTCTAGTATCAAACGGTTAAATGAAGAGATAACATTTGGGCTCGTCTGGTTATTTACATACCTAGTAAGCAATTGATACTAATATCTTCACGATAAATGCCTGTCCAATTCAGTTTACTTTTTACCTATCGTTTGCTGCCGTGAAGTTATTGCATACAAGTTTAGGATTGACTAGACCTAACTATCATTAAACCCAGTTCTATACACATGTTAATTTATCACAAGCAGAATAACAAACAAATAATGAAATCCCGATTGTAGATACTACTTTGATGTGGTGGTTGGGTTTGCATATCATGATGAACCAATCCAGAAATAACGGCTGGAACATTTGTTTTGTTTTGGATTTCACCATACTAGGTACGTCAGTAGGAGTGACTGAATGAATTATTAGCCCCAAAATTCCCTCGCACGGCAGAGGGTGGGGAGAGTCCGTTTTCGCTCTCGAAATGCTCTCACATGGTCACACGTATACGGCTACTGCCAGGGAAGTCCTACTCACTGCCTTCTCGTGGTGGGGGTGTTGTTCACAAAATTGGAAGGACGAAAAGCGAATGTCTGGCGATCTAACCGGTTGGTGGATACTGAGAGTCTACCTAGGGGAGTTGAAAAACCCTGATTCCAAACCAGTGGTGCACATAGGCTCCAGGATCCTAAAGGGACAAGTGGAGTATGAACCAATCACTGGTCACCGGTTACCATCGGACTGCATCTCCTTACTTTGCTCCACTGCCATGTGGATCAGACCTTTAGGTCGAAGACTCAGAGAGTGGCCCCCTAAGAAAACCACCTGCTTCGGTATAGGCAACCGGGCAGTATCACAGCCCACACACAAATCAAGTGACTTGTGTGGCGCATACGTATTCGGTGCCCCTTTGTACCAATATTTATGTTCAAATAATAAAAAAATGATCGAATTATATTGTTAACTAATTGATTTATTCGGAACTTTTGGACGCGATGCACAATGATCGTTACAACCCAGTATCGAAAGGATTATAACTGTTCAGATTGAAGAGACTAACTGAAAGTGGCTGCTAACTAAAACATTACTTGTTTTTAGTACTCAACATTATTTAATTACTAGTATAGGGGTTGTGGAGATTATTAAGTTTTTGATTGAGATCATGAACCGATTGATGTTAGACCATCACAATTGAAAACCTGGAAGCACTGGACGGCCGTTTCGTCCTATTGTGGGACTCCTCAGCAGTGCGCATCCACGAATCCGCGAGCGGGATTCGAACCCAGGGCCTTCGGTCTCGCGCGCGAACGCACAACCAACTGGACCACTGAGCCGGCATCCAATGGTGATAGTTTCTAACATCAACCAATCCACGAAATTGCGCGACCAACTTCCGTTGTACTGAGGTAGATACCATTAAAAACAGGTGGCAGCTTTCAAAGTGGGACAAACAAGTTTTGCCAATGAGCTTTAAAAACAAGAAGAGAATTCTGATATAACTAGAATAAAACTAATTCTGAAGAATTAACAAGCCAACGTCATGGACAATAGTACAAAGTAACTTTATAGATGTGGTCGAAATGCTTACCGTATAAGCTCTTCAGGAATGGCCATATCTGAAAGAAACTGGCTTAAATTACTCCGAACAACCTAGGGAGAAATAAATCAGTGAGGGAAAATCAAGTGACTTATTGGTTTGTCAGAATGTGACAAAAATGAAATTATAAGTCTGTAAGCTTTGAAAGTATCATCTCTTTACATAAGCAAGTGGCTCAAGAGTTACCGTCTACTTTAGTGTTCTTACTTACTGAGCGTTTGGATGAACATAATACCGTAAGCGCAAGGGATGGACATGTTTGTACGTTACCATAGAAAACTGTCTACTTTAAATATAATCATTGTATGTATTACAAACAAATCAATTGAAACGAAACTATACAATGTTCAAAGTGTCAATAGTACCTTAACATGGCTTATAGATTATACACGTGATACGATTCATCCAATTTGACTAAACAACTAGCTAACTGATCGTATATTTGTGCATTGAATTCACTTTTTTGAATACCGATCATGAGGAAAATTGATCAAAGTTGATAATGGAAAGTCTTACTGGCCGTCTAAAGCTTCAGAAGTTGTTGATAAGGATTTTAAAATATGATTTGTATACAGAACAGTACACTTATGAATAATTCTGGCTCTTTTCCCTAAATGAATTCTTTTTCGATAAAGCTATAAAACACTTAGGAATAGAACATAATTTGTGTCATAATTTAACTAATCTTAGTATTACTCTGTTATTAGCTAGTTAAACCCGCCTATTCGTATTAAAGTATTTTCCAAGGTGAATCAACTGAATCTCCTTAGGCTCATTATGCAGGCGTGCTCTTTAAATCTAGACACCTAAAGAAAAACCTAAATCAAGATCGACACAAAACACAAAGGTAAATTCCCAGGCAATAACTTTACTTAGCAGCTTAGATACCAACCAAGGGAATAAATATGATTCAATACAACTGAGGTCTATAAATCCTCATAAGTGAAGTGAGGTCCAGGTTCGCATTAAGATTATATATAGTGCTATAGATATCAATTTATCAAACACGTTAGGTATATTTGAGCATTCAATGCCTATCATTTATTATATTTCGTGGTCGGCAGAAACACTGTATTTACCAATGTTTTCCTTTTACCATTAGGATTAACTCACTCCAAAATATACAAAATGAGTAAAAATAATAATTTTAGTGAACAGAAAATTAACTCATTACTGTGCAATAACATACCTGTCTGTTTTGCAACCGAGTGTTCATTTGTAGAGATTTGCTTTGCAAATCCTGGATTTCTGTGCTAATGGCACCCAAATCTTCATGAAAATTAGTCAGTATGTTTTCTATCCGCTTAATTATGATGGAAGTATACTTTAGAAATAAGAAACAAACCTCTAGGATAGCATCACATGAGATAATTTGGTTATGCAAACTAGCTACTTCAGGACTGACCGTTATATCTATGTATACCTAATAAATGTATGAAATTTACATGTCTTTATAAGTGATTCTTCTATTTTCGTTAACTCTGATTCAACTTGAGCAGCATAATCACGTACATCAATTCCCTACATTGGTGAGTAAGTAAACAAATTAACTTACCGATTTTAGAGCTATTTCTTCTATTTCCGTTTTGAGTGACTCTGAAATGACTAAGATTATATTACAAAGTAACAGTAATCACACCATCAACATTCATTTTCTATACCACCACCAATATTTAACAGATGATGTAAAAATTAACGCGTTTGTAATTAAACAGCATTATGAATGTCGCCAATTCACCTTCCTGAACTCTAAAAGTAAATTTTGCCAATGGAAAAATATGAATATGACATGTGTAATGAATGAAAGCAGTTTGCATGCCCAAATGCTAATATTAAGTTTTGAACCCTATAGGATTATTATACACAGAGTATGTATTGGCTTGCCTTGGAAGTTTTAGTATACAAAGTTTGGTGGGAGATTGATGGGTTAAAAATCTATTCCCCCAACTCCATATCAATATAAAACTAGAAGTTTCCGAACTAACCAGTCGTTTACATCCCAAGACATAAATAAACGCCAGCGAATTCTGTTACGTCCTAGTAATAAAAGTTAAAGAAGGGATAGGTACTACTACACACTGAAGGATGTAATACTGTCTAAAACTACAACCTAAAGTGTCGCCTGAACTGATAGCTAAATGTGTCAACTTTCACCACTTCTACGTGATACTATTATCACCCTGATTTGGAAGAATCTGTTTTCAAGACTACTTCCACTGGTTACCATATTTTAGGTTTTAACCTAAAAATAGTAAGTGACATTGTTAGCCAGAAACGCAGATAGTAAAACTTTGAATGTCTCGAATAGATAAATGACAAAGCCTTTATTTAAAATGCACATCAGGAGACTAAAGAAAACCTGTGAAATATACGGTTCAAAAGACCAGCGGAAATAGATCTCAAAATAAAGTGGAGGATCACTTGACAATGCCTCTTCGCTCTTTAGTATAACGTGCCCAGAGACAGTCTAGGGGATATAGTTATTGTATTCGTCCGTATATGATTAGTTATTGTTTTACGTTGACGTCAAGTAATTATTTAACACAACTTTATCTTCATTCCTACAGCAACTAAAAAAATGAAGAAACTTAACTAGCATTTAATAAGGAAATTCGGTGCGAATAAAGAGGATCTTGTACCAAACTGTTTTCTTGTTCCCCATAATAGCTGCAGCACGTGATAAAAATAGTGAGATATTTAATTCTAAATCTCCCTATTAAAACAGGCTTCTCGAAATTGACGCCCTGAACTTAGCTTGATTTAAAATTACATAGCCTACTTTCCACTTACAATAACACCAAAAGGTTTATTTTCCCTACGAATTCACGTCAAGTTATGTTTTAAACATTACTGTCGGTAAATTTATCAGTTGTTCTCGGGAAACAGGCGTTGACCTTACTGATACAAAAAGTTTTGGATGCTCTGAGGATAAACTCCAGTGTCACACTTTTTAGAAACTAGTAACCAACTGCGTTGACACAACCCCCAACATATGTAAGTAGCGCAACCTTTGATTGCCTGCGGAATTTCAGATTGTTTTAACTAGTTGAGTTCATTGAATGTATGGTAGTTAATATTTCCTAGAATACAAATTTACATAGGTTTTCAGTTTAATCTGGGTTTTCTTAGTGTTAATAAACTTGTGTAACCCTGTACATCCTCAATCAGCCACAATATCACTAATATCTCATATTCTATATAAACTTATACTTAACAGTCCCACCCACCTTTACATCTGCTTTATTGCTTCTGTTACTATACGCCGTTCTTAATAAAGGATCTATCCGGCATTCTGGAAAACGTGTCATCAAAATTATAAGATTCTGTCTGGCCAACTTCAGAACGATGCTGAGCTAAACAAGATTATAAACTGTGCCTAAAATCCCTCAGGAGACACCACCGGTCACAAGCTCGAATAAAGGAAGAAGAGTGCAATTGAGATCATTCGCTCCGCTTCTTTAAAAGGAGTCTCGCTAAACCGCAGCCAGAAAGAACCACTAGAATAATTTTAAACTCTGGTCTGAGAGTTAAAGAGTCTTCATAAAACCTGGAAAACTCCGAAAGCCACGAACCCAATACTTTTCGTGAAGTCCAGAGAAACAGCGAACATAGAGATACAGAATATCCGGGCAATGTGGCAGAGTGGAGGAGTCGTCCATATAGTCACAGTGGTGGGAAAACACAACTATGAGACTTGTAATAACTTAGATTGGATTGTTAAGAGTTAGCAGAAAACATCCTGATGATGTCGAAACATTATAGCCCCAGTATTTGTTTACTTCCTTATTTTGTTTTGGCATTATATTTCCTATTATTCTGTACTGAATGGTGAAAACTTAGTGGATTTGAAAAGATAACCTCGTGCTCCAACTGTTCTGTTCCTCGATCCCCTATAACGATCTATTACAACCACTGGTCTGGCATCTCCCATGGATAAAACGAAGAGTAACTATCAGTACCCAAGGCTCTTTGAATAAGATTTTATTGAAAATCACCCGGATAAAAAGTCAGCTTTAAGATAGCTGCCATCGTATTCAAGATATAAGGAACGATGTGTCTCATGAATAAATCTATTACACCCCTTTATTAGCTCTCTTTTCAGTTATCTGCTTGCTGAAGGTGAACTACCTGCCGACTGTAAACCAGTGTTACCCCATCCGTTTGTAAAAGTAGCAATTTTGGTTGAAGCTTTCAATTTAGGACCTATTGCTTTGATGTTTATGGTCGTGAAGATCATGGAAAGACTTACAAGCTTACCCATTTGAGGATGCTTACCTAAACTCACAGTGTTATAACAATCCCAAAATGAAATTCCTCCAGGTAGATACTGTTGTACTGAGTTGTATACAGCTGGAGTAGTTAGACGGTATTATTGCACCATAATTAATTTTTATACAAAGTCCTCTCCCACAATCTTTTTTTCAGGTGTCCTACGAAAATGATCAAATGATTCATTGTTTGGAACTTAAACCAATAGATACCGCTGAACTCACATAAAGACTACAAGTTTGATAAGTTCACAACATCAAGCCCGGTGTTACATTCCCATACTGACAATGTTTGTTCTACACTGATATGGCTGACAAACCTGGATGTTCAAGCTTACCACTCTTTACTGGACTGTCATAGTTCCGTCTTATTTGATTGTGACCATTGTGTTGAATAAGGTAAAGAAACGCATTAAGAAATGACAAATATTTTGTTCGCATTAATAAACAGAAGAAACTCTTAGTTGCTTGACGATCGTATTTTAGTGGAACGCTATTCACTTGAATTTTGAAACATTGGTCAATATACTTCTTCGTGCTGCATGAGCCGTTCGTTTTATTACTGAAAACCGGGTAATCTCCAATCTTCCGGAATATTTCTCCAGTAACCTATTAGCCACTAATAAGTGCAGCCGATCGAAAAATAGCAGAAGTACTTACAAAGGTCGTACTACTGCACTGACTTGTAGTTAAATAACCTAGATGATATGTGTCGAGTGATTAGGGGCCTAGTCGAGTTACACGGAAATTGTGTGAATAACCAGCTATCATGGAAGTCAAACCTCGTGGTTCTCACCTAACATGGATTACCCTTTCTTCGTACCAAGGTACGATGGCTGCTCTGAAGACCGTACAACACAAAAGTTCTTACTACAGAAATGTATTGGTAAGAGTAGGCACAAAGAATAGATTGTGTCAAAAACCTCACGAATCAGTCCATGGCGAGCGATTAATTAATGCGCGTTAGTTGTTATTGACATTGAGGAGGATCAGTGAACTGTTCAACCTGATTGCAGGATGAGTTGGCTAGGGTTTGGTGATATTTCGTTGGCTCTACTATATTCCCCACAAGAATTAACGACCATTTGAATCGGTAACAAACACGGTGAGGGTAATCGCACGCCGTAGGTCTCCAGAGGATGAGGAAATCATTCGGATATAACTGAATTGCAAGACAATTGGATATTCGTCGACAACAACTGATCGGGAAATAGCGAGTAATGATAAATTTGGGAATTTCGGATTTGTCGATGCGCCTATAAGTATGATTCGCAGGTTAATTAAATGTTTGGCTATTTACATTGACGATAATAAGGAACAGTTTAACATTTTAAAGCTCTGTCGAGTCATATTAAAATAAATTAATTTGAAAAGTGATTGAGTTTCTCAGATATCCAGCTTTCAGTTTGCCGCAAGAGTACGATAAGTATACTATCAACTGATACTGACGTTAGAACTGCCATTGACTTAAGTTGGTCTGTGTCGTTGACAGTTTACTGTTCATATGTGTTGAATTCCATTTACATCTATATTTAGAAGGTTCACTGAAAGTACAGACGTATAATGGTAAAACAGTGATTTTATCATATGAAGTTATGAATCACTTTGTAGTTAGAGTCTGTAAATCTGATGATTGCTAATGTAATCAGTATGCGTCGTAGACCACAAATCAAGAGTGAAAGTGACTCGGCGAAATTATCTCCACAAGATGAAAAGTGGAAAGTGCCGTATATAAGTTCAATAACTTAACTGAAGAATATCGAAGAGAACATAAAAAATCAAGGGTGTTACTCTGGACTCATGCCAATGACATTGGTGCAAAATTCTATTCTATGTTGGGACAGGGACAACAATGTCGTTAACATTTTGCAGGAGACTCGCTTCACTGTGTAGACTGATGGTTCGTGCTAATGATAATGCAGTGAGGCCACCAACTGAGCTAGACAGGTTTTAGACAATCGAGTATTTGAACAGCCAATTGATCAACCGATTTCATTTGTTAGATTACAGCCACGGGGAAACAGAAAGAAGGAAGTTTGAATTGAATAGTCACAGTGTGGTGTGAGCTACTTATATTGATATAAGTAGTATATAACGTGCGTTAAAAGAACGTAATGTCCGGCAGCAGAAGATGGCGAAGATCAAGAAAGGAAGAGAGGGAGCACAATGGAATTTGTAAGAAAACGCATGTACAATGGAATGGGAGACAATGGATTAGTGTTTGCAACGGGAACAGTACAGTTTGATATGATGGAATGATATTTTGCAAATTGACGATTGACTTTATGGTATTCACATTTTATTGAGATAGTCTGTAATTTTTGTGCTAAATACATTCGATTGTCCCCAACCGTGTCCTTGTTCACTACAACAGTAGTTGAGGTGTGTCATAATATCACAGCGAAATAACATCGTTCATGAATATATTGAAGGTTGCGCTAAACGTCTGTTTGTGCATTGCTAATGTAACACTTGGATGTGTAAATACAAACATATACGAATATTATGATGAGGTTTGTGGAGAATTCTATAGGTCGTTTGTATGTTTTCCAAACCCCTATTGCATGTAAATAAAGCGCAAATGAAGTTACCAAAAACAAAGGCAGAATGAAACTAAAATGTCCGAGGTCAAATTTATAAAATAAACAAGGTCAAAAGGTCAGTGACAACAAAAACATTTAAAAATCAGTGAAATTATTAATATACCACATGATAGTTTTTAATTAGTTAAATATTTTCAGTTCTTCTCATAACATCGACTTCATGAACTAACTTAGGCCAAGTTACTGGAAGTCATATGTGGAACAATTGTTTCAAAGGACTGATACCAGTATTAAGTAAAGCGGTTGACATTTTGACGTGATGGAGGATTTGGACCTGATTAACAAATTAATGAGCTATTGTTACGTCACATTATACAATCTTCTGATGTTCCGTGTAGAAACATTTGCAGAAGTATTGATAGCGTTAGTGGCTGAACTCCTGCACTTGATGATGGTAGAAATGTTTCAAATATCCCATATTCAATGAAACCAGGAATGATGAATCACAAAGTTCAGGGATATATTCGAAAGATACTCGATGCGTCGAGTACTATATGGTCTAAGCTAAGTAACTGTTGTAAAGTATGCTCAACATAGAATACCCAAACGTGATTTGCTGAGCACGGTTGACCGGGCGCCATCAGAAAGGGTGTGTCTACTAAAATAATGAGGTCAAAATTCAATATCAAAGGCTTGCAGGACTACTTATTATGGAGGATTATAGTGGCTATATACTCAATCATTCTGTAGAGTTTAAACTTCATGATGAGAAGTAACACTTGGTAAGGAGCGTGCGTACGTCAGGCTTTTATCTTCAAGGTGGTCTGATGATGAAATTATATGTAAAGATGCAAATGACTGTATTACATATAACGTAATTACACACTTAAACAATAAATAAAATTTCTTGACAGAAATTTATTTATTTTTGGTATGACTGAAGCTTGTTTAGCCGAGATAAATAAATATAATGTAACAATTCATGAATTAATCCTTCATACGAGACTGTGTAACTAAAGAAGCAGTATTCAGTGTGCGATTTCGGATCACTAGGAGTTAGTGGAGAAGATTTGTAGCTCAGGTGGATGACTTTGGTGGAGTTTTGTTCTCTGAGCTGGATGGTTTGGTCGTGGAGCTTTCATCGTTGTTCTGAACGACATCCATATGTGTTTCAAAGCTTGTTCTGTGCACCTTGATGTTGATTGGTTCTTATTGACCTTAAATTTGTCATTGTTTACTTCTTTCTTTTGGTTGTGTTTCCCATTGTTTTGATTTTTGTTCTTATGTTTGTGCATGATTTTTCTGATTGGTTGATAAATTGGATTGATTTCAATATGCTTGTTGATTGCTGATTGACCTGAGTACAGGCTTCCAAAAATTCTCTGGTGTTTTTGAAGATTCCTCTGTCTAAGATTTCCACATTTTTCCAATCGAATGAGTGTCCGCAGTTGTACGCATGTATTGATATAAGTGAGGAGATATCATGGCGTTTGACTG